AACCCAACTTGCCAACCTATTTATCCATCCACCTACTAAACTATTTATCTCCATTTTCACTTACTTAGCCATCCATCATTCATACAAACATCCATCTATCCCTCTTTTTATCCATTAATCCATTCATTCACGTACCAGTTTACCCATTCAGCCATCCAACCATCCATCTACCCATCCAACACTCACTTAACTCCTAACTTTATGCCAAACACCTTGTACATGCCACTCCAAATACAGAGATTAACGAGAAACAAGAACTCTCCATCAGGATATCCACCATCTAGAAGAAGAAGCAGGCTTTACAAAGTGCCATTTATGTGGCATGTATCCTGGGTGAGATCATCAAGAGTGTGATGTAGGGAACTATGTAGAGAAAGGAGCTTTGGAAAGCCAAGAACAGAGGACATCATCGTGGAATAAAATGGGAAGGATAAAGCACAGGTTGGTTTTCCTGAGGTTAACAGGAAGGATGAAAGAATAAGTGGGAAGACCAGGAATAATTAGGAGGCTTGGGTCAGAGGGAGGAAATTTTTTCATAGTAAGTGTATTAGTTGGTCGTATCATTCAACAGTATCATTTGCATTTCATGACATAGGAGAGAAAATGTCAGTTGAGCACAAAGTATTCAAACAAAAGTCCATTAGATTCTGCAAACATTTATGAAAGCCTGCTGTGTGCATACACAGAAAAAAAAATGCAGCCTTGCCCACCAAGGTTATCCAGGCTCAAAGATGCTGGGTAAGATAACACTGCTGGAGGATGGATGGTGTGATGTTGTAGGTCCCAAGGGAAGAATGAGTTTCCCTCTGGCAGACAGACCTCAGCAGATGTAGCATTTTAGCTGAGCCCTGAGGATGAGGAACAATTAGAATATGTAGAGGTCAGTGGAACAGCATGAATTGAGAGAGATGAAGCTGAGATGTCCCCTGGAAGACCTCCTACAGCCTAAGGATAATCACACACAGGGCTAGGACCAGACCCAGAGGACAGGTGATCTGAGGGATGGTGGCATAGGGATAAGAAGGCATTGATTCAGTCATGAAACGAGAAATAGGCTATGGGGTTTAAGACAAGATGGGGGGGATTGCTCAATGGGTAAAGAGCTTGCTGCTCAAGCAATAGGGGGTTGAGTTCAGATCTCCAGCACCCACATAAAAGCTGTGTACAGAGGCATCTGTATATGTAATTCCAGTGTTTTGGGGGTGGAGACAGGTCGGGGAGAGGGTTATGGTTTGCTGGTTAGCTGGTCTAGCTGAAACAGGAAACTCTAGGTTCACTGAGAGGCTCTTTCTCAAAACACTTGAGAAAGTTGTGTTGAGTCAGGTGTGGTGACACAGTGCCTTTCCAGCACTCGGGAGGCAGAGGCAAGTAGATCTCTGGGAAATCGAGGCCAGCCTGGTCTACATAATGAGTTCCAGGCCAGTTGAGGCTACTGGGAGACCCTGTCTCAAAACAAACAGCAAAAATAAAACTTGTAGGATGAAAAGTGAAGGGAAGACACCGGAAATTGATCTTTGGTCTCCACATGCACATGCATGGGTGCATCTGCCTACACACATGTGTACACATACACAAAGAATTGATGAAGGGCTCAGAGTAGGGGAGGGGAGGTGCCCTTAGTGACCCAGGAGAGGGAGTGAACCCATCCAAACTGCAATTGTGGTAAGTTGAACCTCCACAAGGGAAATGAAGCCTAAGTAACCTTTTTCCTGATACTAACACTGTAAATGAGTGCTGAGGCCTGTCCCCATCCCTCAGGGTCCCCCAGAGGTAAGGAAATGGGGATGGGCCAGCCTAACCCTGAAGACAGGATCCTTCCACAGGGCCAAGGCATTTCTCTTTTCTGGACAGATTTGGAAGACGGAGGATGTGAAGATGTCTGTTCCTGGGCAGGCAGTTACAGAGGAGCCGTCCACTCAGCTTCCGAGCCCCAGAGGTACCTGCAGGACTTGCCTTGTATTGCCCTCCTGCCTGTCCCTCTCCCAACTTTGACCCCAGGGATGCAGCTCCTCCCAGGTTTCCAAAGTTTAGGGAGGCCATCGAAGCTCTGGAAAGTGCCACCAGGATTGGATTGGGACTATATTCATCAATTCTGCATCGCTAGGATCAAATACTTGAGATAAACAGCTTAAGGGAGGAAAGATTTGTTTTGGCTCATGGTTTCAGAAGTTTTAGACCATCGTTGGAGGGAAAGCCAGGTGACAGGAGTGACTCCATCTGTGGCAGTTGGAGTGTAATGGGGCAGGTGTTTTCATTCAGCAGACAAGGAAACAGGGATCTAGACCAAGAACCAGCAGTGTGCATAACATTCAAAGGTGTACCCCTCACGACATTCTTCTGCCGACCAGTTCTCAAGTCATAAAGGCTCTATAGCCTTCAAAGCAGTGCCACAGGCTAGGGACAAAGCATTCCACACATGAGCCTGTGAGGGACATTTCAGATTCAGACTATGATGGGTTCAGTGAGAAAACAGCATCCTGCAAGTTTCTAGTGGACCATGAAGCAGCATGAGATGCCCTGCTGAGCCCTAGCCTGGTTCCTGTAGGGTGTTGGGTCCTGTGGTGCTTCTTGAACTTATGGATAGTGGTGTTGTAGTGGGTGTCAAGGGCCCCTGGGCTTCAGGAGAGAAGAACTTGCTGGTCTTCTTTGAGGCTCTCTATCTGCCTTGATGGTGCTTGAAATCCAAACTCCTCAGCCCAGGACCTGAATGTGGCTGGATATTTGCCTGGACAACCAGGCTGTGGGCAGAAGGGAGGGCTACTTTTCCAGTAAGGAGAAGGTAGATCCATCTTGCTCTGTATGCCCCTTTATCCCTCTCTCCAAGGAAGAGCCTCAATGTGGATCTGGAATCCTCTGCCTAAGCATCAGCTAGGGGTTTATTCCAAATGTACCCCCCAGACTTCTGCCTCAGCCCAACCCACTGAAAAAGTTCAGAGTTGTTGGGCTGGGAATGTCTAGCAGGTGCCCAGGTAAGTCTTGTGTGCACAAAAGCTCCAGGGGCATTCACCATCCAGTGGCAAAGCCGCCTTCTAGTTGTGGCATGTGACACTAAAGTGCAAAAATCTGTCCTGCCTTCTGCCATCTTGCCAAGGCTGTCATCACAGAGTTGAGATGGCAGAGAGATGCTCTACTGTAAACATTTCCTATGTATTTACTTTTCTCTTGGCAGTCCTGACCTTAGCCAGGTGCCCATCTTAGAGAAAGAAGGGAACTGAGGTGCAGAGAGCCTCAAAGTTATCCAATAAGCTCTACTTCATCCTCCCCTCGGCCACTACAGCAGTCACAGTAACCCTAACCTCCGATTCCTCCACATACCACCACCAGCCCCTCCACTACAAACACAGGCATGGGCCTCATCATCGAAGTTGTTGTTGCTCCACCTCAAGCTGCCCAATCGTCCTTACCACCATTACTTCCTCCGTGGCAACAAGCCTTCCCTCTCAGCTCTGTCCTCAGAAGATTCCAGCCCAGAACCAAGATGTCTTTCTTGAGTTCCATAACCAAAGGAAACATATTATTCTGATCTGCCAGGCATTTCTGGTAGCTCCCAAGAACTACTGATCATCCACAGGAGAGGCCTTGCCCAACCTGAGAGGGCTAGCTTGGGCATATAATATCTACTTTTAATTACTTAACCTCGACAGCATATTTCCCACCACTCTGGTTCATTTAGCCACCTATTCATGAATTTGTCATATAAACATACACGTGTGTGTACTGGGCTCCTACTACAGCCTATGTTCTACATTGAGAATCCCTTCCTCCAACATTTCACCATAAAGGGACTCTTGTCGACAGTCTGGGTTGATCCAGAGTACAGACATCACCAAAACCAAGAACTGTGTTCACCCCAGCATCCTAGTACCACTGGGATGCTTGGAGACCATGAAGAGTTGGTACATTCTCAGAGAGAAACAAAAACACGTGACTGTGCTCTGACGAGCTCAGTGATTCTTTGAAGAGCAATAGTCCAACTCCCTCCTCTATTTCTGCCCATGGGAGAAAACCAGCACAGGGCTTCTCTTCTCTAGGCTATATGTGATGCAAGTGTCATATATGCCTGCATGATATTGCATGCCATGTTGGCCTTGGGATCAACAGCCCCCTTCTGAAGCTATTAAAATCCAGTATGCAAAGGTACGAGCTCAACCCATGATGATGGATCCTCAAGAAAGGATGCTAGGTGGAGGGTGGAACAGGGCCTGGCTGGCTGGATGGATGGAGAAGAGGTACCTCAGAGCCAGTCCATTTGTTCTGGACAGGCCAGTGGATTCCCAGGCTTCTGTTTAGCCTTGGAGTCTGAAGAATGACAAGAGGCCCCAGGCTATAGACCCAGTTCCATTCCCACAGCTTGTATGTCTCCTCTGTCAGCCAAAGATATTTCCTGTGATTTTGATCTTATAGGGTATTCGGACAGAAAAATTACTAGACACAAACAGGAATCCACTCTATGGGTGTGGACCATTACTGTCAACCTTCAGACTTCTAAGAGTTTCTTCTCTTTGAACAAAGTGACCGATGACATTAAGAAAATTACAAGATAGTTTTGGGCTGACAGTAAGTCCCAGATCTATATCCTTCCCCTGCTGTCTGTCCTGGCCCGAGGTGACCACTGACCCACAGAACTGACAGCCAGGATTGGGGCTATAATTTAAGAAAGGATCAGGATGAAATGACAAGATGGTAAAAATAAATCAGACTGAGCCTCAGTTAAAATCAACAAAATTGAGAGCAGATTTGTAAACCTAACCCACTGGAGGTCTCTAGGAAGGCAGTATGCTGTTTTATCATATTGCTCAAAGCCGTTTTGTTGGAAAGGGATCTGTATTAAGCATGACACATGAATATTTGCACATGTGTCCTCTTGGTGTGTGTTATTGCATCCTCTCAGATGTCTTCAGGGGCAAGAAAGGAGATCTGTAAACATATTGAGGACAGTGCGTTTGCAGGCAGATATAATCTAATTTCTTCCTGGAATCCATTTATTTGTCGTTTGTGGTAAGGACCAACCCAGCTGACTGTGATTTGTTTCAGAAATCACCCCCTAGATTCGGACTCAATCTTGTGCAGGAAAAACATGACTTGTGCAAGAATTTCAAAATGTTTGACTCTGACTGCAGTCAGTGTCCCCCACTTGCATCTCCAGATATCCCCTGGTACAGGGGCCTGTCTGTACCCATAGGTGGCCACATCAGGGCTGCTGGGGCTGGAGCATCATTTGGGCCCTGAGTGCAATGAAATGGCCTCACAGGGGCATGCCCACTTTCTGTCTCTCCATCTCAACCTTCACATTGAAGGAATTACTGTCTGTCCCCAAATGTAGTCATTAAAATGAGTGAAGTAACAATCATTGAGTTATATTTTTTGAGAAAACGTTCTCAGCATTTAATTATTGGTTGGGCGTGAGAGGATTTAGCTAAGTTGATAATGCAGACTTTATGTAATTTATTTTTACTAGGCAATTATGGTCTGCATTACACCCTGGCAGCAAGGTATTGTGGGGCATCTTATTAAGCATAAAGCCAGTAAACACTGATGAACAATTTTGCTGAACTAGGCATGCAATTTAGAAAGCAATAATACACAAATCCAATTTGGCACACAATGGATACCGTGGCACGTCAGCACATGTAACTATCACAGCCTGCAAATTAAATTGGGACGGCCCTTTTTGCAACAGCACAGGCCAAGATTAAATATATTTTCCCTCTCAATTTAACAAGTTGCTGACCACAAATATAAATATGTGTGTGTATATGTGTGGTCCTCGGGATGGGTGCACATGGGCTTGTATGGGAAGCCACCGGGTGCTCTAACTATTCACTCTCAAACTCTGCACAGGTCACAGGTGGGAGAAGAACCTTGCCCTGAGCCGAGAGTTGGATGTCAGTGTTGCTTTGAGTGGCAAACCCAGTAAGGCCAGCTCAGCAGTGACAGCTCTGGCCATGTCTAGGTAAGAGCAGTCACATTTCTCCAGGTCTCCAGTAGAGGGCGCTACAGCCAACCTAGCTAAGAGTTCAGCAGCTCTGGGCGAGGTGATCAGACTCAGGAAAGCCACCTCATTACAGTAGCCCAGGCAGGCCCACCAGATGTGGTCTGCAGGTAACCTGTGGCCACACAGGGTCTTAGGAAATGTTGACTTTTGCTGCTTTTGACTCGTGTGTGCTTGATTGCTATCTCATGAATATGCATGAATTAATAAAAAGAAATGCAAAATATAGGGAAATAGATCTTGTATTTTTATCTTAAAGAGGGCCTTTTGTTCTGAATCCCACTTGCGATTATAACATGCAATATGATGGCCATCCCATATTAACAGAAAATGCCTTTTGAAGCCCCTAAAGTAATGTAGAGTAACGTCAAAGATGACACTTGGTTTCATTATTTTAGTAATCGTAGGTGACCCCGTGGCTGTAGTTATGACCGTTAACCCTGCTCTGTACCCTAGGGAGTATAGTCTTAGGAGCTGCTGACTTTCCAGAGCCACCCTTCCTCCCTCACTGGCCTGGGGTGGACCATGCAGGGACTCCTGGCATGGAAAGCACACAGTGTTCTGGATACTGGATTGGCCTAGGTGGTATCGGCATGGGTATGGGCTAGGGGAGGAGAGGAGAGCTGCCCTCTTTATTGGAGAACTCGTCTTATGCTTTGCCAGGGCCACAGGCTGCATCTGTCCAGGGCAAGAGCCTCTCCTGAAGCTACTGCTGGAGAGATGGAGGGGGGCCTCAGCCAGCTCCCCAGAACCTCAGCCTCCTCCAGTGCTTTGGGACCTATGACCTCACTGCTCAAAGCTCCCTCCCCACCTTGGTCCATCCAGAGTTCCTTTCTTCCTCTCCCTCCCAAACTTCAGGGTGTCCAGGACAGAGGCCCCGTGATGCCATTTGTCAAGTGCTGGCTAGGATATGTGGGTCTCACAAGTTGGCTTCCAATGCTTTTGTCTTTTCTTTTTCTTCTCAAGAAACCAGACCAAGCTCTTGGTGGGCGATGAGAAGGGGAGGATCTTCTGCTGGTCTGCTGATGCATAGAAGGAGAAAGGCATGGGCACAAAGCCGGGCAGCCCTGGGGGCATCAGCACAGGCTGAAGACACGGAGGTGATGTGTAGCTTGGGCTCTGCACCCAAAAGCAACTGTCTTTCCCATGATTCTCAAGGAAGGAGCCCTTGATGGTTTGCACTGTGTACCTCAAATTATATCTGTGACCCACAGGACTTCTGTAGGAAAGATTCCAATATAAAGTCGTGCTGGAAACTGGCTTCCTGGCAACAAACTGCACAGGAAATATACATGTGACTCAACTTACCAAGAGCTTATTGTACTGAAAAAAAAATGGGATTGGCTGATGGAAACTGTCCTGTTGTCTTTATTTTATTAAAATGCTGTTTCCAAATGTAAGGCTGCTTGAGTTTCACATTGTCCAGTTCATGTCATATGCTCTCTTAAAAAGACAGGAAGTAGGGGAAGGCTGTAGAGGTAGCTCAGCAGTTAAGAGCACTTGATGTTCTTCCAGAGAACCTAGACTCGGTTTCCAGCACCTACATGGCAGCTAACAACCATCCATGACTGCAGTTCCAGGGCGTTCAACACCCTCTTCTGGCCTTTACTGGCGTTATATGACATGGATGCACTTAAATACATGCAGGCAAAACACTCACAAAAAATATGTTTAAAAAGTCAGGAAGCTGAGTGAGTGGTGATGCTGAAGCAGGATGCTGCTCAGCCATGGGACACACACAAATGACTGCTTCCTGGCACAGACACGGGGGCATCAGGTTGGCAGTATGCTCAGCTTGGTATACAGCTGAAGCAGTGGTGGGTCCCAGGTAGGCTGTGCTTTGGCCAGCTCTTCCCAGAATCCATCTCTCCATGGAAATCAAATGCCCCCATCCTCATACTGATTTTGGAGAAATTTTAAATGAACTCAAACTGAGGAGACTGCAGGTACATTCGGGGAGGGTAAGCTTCCTAGTTTCAGTTCCCTTCCCAGAGGTATCCTGTCTAGAGCCCAAGTGGGCGTACAAATCTTCTCCATATTTCTCCAAGCCTGCAGAGGCCCTAAATGAATGGCTATCCCCACTCCATTCAGCTCAGGCCCAAGGATGGCAGGAAAATGAACTTGATGTCTTATGGCTCACTTTAAGTGAGTCTATTTAAAGATAAATATTAAGAAAGGAGATATGGTGTGTGGCCATGTCAAACACAGAGCACAGTTAGGACATTCTGATTTATCTCTGAACTTTGAGGGCTTTGCAAAAGGGAAACTGGGGGAGGAGACGCTTCTTAGGTCCAGAGCACCCCTCCCTGGCTGGGGAGGGCTCTTGTCTGACCCTGGATCAGGCCACCTCCCACACTGTCTGCATACACTATTAGCAGACAGTCCATTTGCAATCCCTCGTCAGTCTGGGACCGCAGCAGAGGACCATAAATATAATAGCAGAGAGCACGGCTCCCCAGGAAGGCTGAGAAGTATGCCATAAATCTCAGGGCTGGCCCGCTGTCATTTTTCAAAACACAATCCATAGTATTTACCCAGGGTTGAATTTCCTTTGGTAGAGACAATGGGGAAATGAGGTTGGGTCTTCTTGCTAGAGTCTTGGGACTAAGATGTCAGTGCAAACAAATCGGACTAGGGGGACCTGGAGAGATGGCTCAGCGGTTAAAGAGCACTAAGTGCTCTTGTAGAGGTTTGATTCCTAGCACCCACATGGTGGCTAACAACTGTCTGAACTCCAGTTCCAGGGGATCTGCTGCCTTCTTCTGACCTCTGTGGGCATTGCACAACATGGGTGCACTTATACATGTAGGCAATACACTCATACATAAAAATAATAATTTTTTTTTTTAAAAAAAACGGAACCTGTGGTAGAAGAGCTTACAAAAGACATCTCATGCTCTAGGGTAGGGACAGGTAACATTCTGGCTGCCTGTCAGCTTGAGCTGCCATAAAACTACCCCAGATTGAGTGGCTTAAATGACAGAAATGTATTTCTTTGTAATTCTGAGGCTGGAAGTTCAAGATCAAGGTACAAATGGTTGGCTCCTTCTGGGATTCTCTCCTGGACTTGAAGATGATTACCTTCTCCCTGTGTCCTGTATTCTTTTGTGGTCTTTCCTCTGTGTGTGTCTGTGCCCTACTTTCTTCTTAGAATGACACCGCTCATAATGGATTTGACCAGCCCTATGACCTCGCTATAACTATCGCTGAACACAATTTTATTTCCAGATACTAGGGATGGGGACTTTAGTATATAAATAGTTCAAGGATGAAATGCAGTCCTGATTGAAGGAGATGGCACTATAGACTAAGAGCTGGGCGGCAGAGGTGGCTTGACCCTATAGGAATGGTGAGGCAGGACTCTGGGAAGAGAAGCGGCACTGGCAAAGGCCCAGGGCACACTGGGCTGCAGGAAGGACAGATGGGCCAAGGTGCAGGCAAGGTAGAGGTTGTTGCTCTGGTCCAGGAAATGGAGTAGTGGAAAGGAAGCGACAAACAGCCTGAAAGCCACTGTCGGGTCCAAACACCCACCTCTCCACGTGTGGAGTAAGATGGAAAGAAGGTGAGAAGAAGCTGGAAGAGACATGTGACGTGCGTGCCGGACCAAGATGTGGCCAGGGGTGGGGGTTGTGGCATCCAGGAGCTGATAGAGGGAGTAGGAGGGCAGGGAGGGGGCTGCAGGTGCAGTGAGCCCTGGATCAGGAAAGGCTGAAGAGCTGGGTAGTCCATGTGTGTCAGGGAAGATCTGGTGATCACCTGGTAACAGCCTCTTTCGTAGGGCACTGTTTCGGCAGGGACCTGGGTGCCCTCCTCCAAGCTGAGTGCGTGTTACCTGCAGGAAGAAAACTGCTCTGTACCCATACAGAAGAAGGCACAGAGATCCTAAACCCTCACATGTGTGGCTGTGCTGTAGGCCTATGAGACATCAGAAGTCAAGTCTGCGGGGGCAAGCACAAGCAGACGAGGACCAGGATGGAGCTGGGGTGGAGAACTGTGGGTCGGTCCGCCTGAGGCTGAGATCAGACACTCACAGCAGCTTTGGTGGCAGAAAGCTCTTGCTGGCCATAGTGGTTTCAGACATTCAGTCAGTTGGTACTGGGGCTCTAGGCCTGTCAGTGACGGAGGGAAGGCAGGGCAGGGCCCTGGAGAGTGGATGGGCAGGAGCTGACTCAGCACCACACTCGTAGCAGAGGGGAAGGTGCTGTGTGGCAGGGCAGGAGTCACAGCTGCAGGAGGCTAGGACAGAGGACCACACATATCCCTGCCAGCTTGCGGAGGCCTGAGCAGGGGCGACAACAAGCCTGTGGGCACAGATGGTACCCGAGACTGAGATATAAATGCAGGTTCAAGCAGCAAGTTGGGGGCAGAACCTGGGGCTATTTCTGGTGTCTCCACTTTCTGTCAACTTCAACCTATCTTTATATTTGTAAAATGGGACTCTGGTGTCTGTGTCAGGACTTGTCATGAGATTGAAATAATGCTTATTTTATAATAAAATGATATAACACAAAGTACATTATATTATATGATATGTTATTTATCTATCACACAAATATAATGAAAAGCTAGGAGATGGAGCCAACAGCAGACTGTTGTCTGTCGCTGGCATAGTGCAAGCCTTCACCTTATCACTTATCCATTAACTCACTAGTGTGTCTGGCTGAGCCAAGCCCTGTAGAGCCCCAGGGACAGAGCCGTTCTGGACCTGAGCTAGAGAGAGGCACAGGAGGCCGAAAGCAGCAGGAGTGAGGACAGTAGGTAGCTGCCCACTCCTGGCCAGACCCCTGCAGGGGTACATACTGGGCTTCCCGAAATACCCTGGAATGAAAGCAGGGTTCTCAGGCTCCAGGACCCACAGGATCTGGGTCCATCGGTATGGGGTGAAAGCCATAGTCTTGGTGCTGTGCACCAACAGTCCACTCTGCAAGGAGCAAGGGAATGTATGATGACAGGATGGGATGAGGAAGAGGCATTCACTTCTGCTGCCTAGCTGGCCAGCTGGCTTGTGGCTCTCTAGCCTCTGAGGTCAGGCACCCCCACATTTCTCAAACTGTAACCTGCTGAGCTAGAGCACAGCAGACATGCTGGCCTGCTTTTCATCAAGACTTCCTAATACCTGTGACACCAACCCCAGGCCCAGACCCATCTCAGTTAGTGGCAAGGGTCTCACTCAACCCCACCAAGAGCACCAGCTCCCCAGGGAAGTCTCACCTCTGGTCATCTTCCCAGGACATGCTGCGGCCCAGTGACATGTCATAGGATGCACTCTCTGTATGTGACATACTGTGAGAGGCCAGGGAAGGCAACCTTTGTAGTCAGACACTTTCTTACTATGGGACTGAGGTGAGCAGAGCTCTCAAATGGCAGTGTGGAAGCACAAAGCTGTCATGACCACGGGCACCCAAGTCTTTCTGGGAGCCGGCTTCACCCTTTGAGGCTCCCCCAAGGCTCAGGCCAAGCCCACCTCTGCATTTCAAACAGCCTAGCTTTACCTGAGACAAACTCACACCAAGTATTCATAGTGCACAGGTTAATTCAGTTTTAACCAAGCGTTTGTAGTCAAGTGTGGTAAATTCAAATTCCATGACCTGGGGCTCGCGACATGGCTCAGCAGTTAAGAGTACTGACTGCCCTTATAGAGGGCCTAGCACCAATATGGTGGCTAACAACTGTCCGTAACTCCTCTTCTAGGGGATCGATGCCGTCTTCTGACCTCTGTGAGCATTGCGTGACATGGGTGCACTTACATACATGCAGGCAGTACACTCATACACATTAAATAAAAATAATATATAAAATATTAAAACAACAACAACAACAACAAATTCTGTGACCTTTTAAAGGTCAGATAAAGTTTCTGCCTGGACTGGGGAATGGCTAACAGGACTCATAGGTACCTGGTGGGGGACAGATGAATTGTTTGCCTTGAGCAGACTGGCATTCAACATCAGAGTCTCATAGATGGCCTACCTCAGGCTCGTGGTGCCACTGACCAAGCTTCAGGGACTTCTAGGTTCCTCTGGCCCCCCTCTGGGGCCACTACCTCCCATTCTACACTGGCCCCTGCCTTTCATTCCTTCCTGTTCTGGGAGAGTTCAGTTCCTGAAAGTGACTGCAACTACCTCCCCCAAGTGCAGTAAGCAGCAGGAGCCAGAGTGAAGAACCTAGTCAAGGGGCCTACAGAGAACTCAGAGATTGGATTTGCCCACATTAGAATGCAGTCAGGCAGGGCACATTTGGGAAGGAACAGATTCTTCAGATGAAAATCTAGATGAAATTTGTTTAGCATAAGATCAAGTCTCTCTGAGCCCAAATCAGTTTTCCTTCAGTAAGTTGTTGGGTACATATTACATGTCCAGACTGAGCTAGGAGTATGTTTGT